AGTGAGGTTGGCCCAGGATCGGACATTGTTTCATTCTGCTGTGCATGGGGTCACTATGAGTTGGTTCCGACTCGATGGCACCTGACAACAACAACAACCCCTACCACTGGAGTCCTGGTGCAGCACTTTAGGATAAGACTCAACCACAAGGTCAGTGGTTCAAACTCAACAGCTGCTCCTCAAAAACCATATACAGGGTGACTATGAATTGGAACCAGTTTTGAAGGCACTTAACAACAACAACCATTAATATCAGAAAGGTAGAAATAGTGACAGATTCTTACTATTCTTACTATGTGGTAAAGGAAAGTAATGGAAGCACAATTCCTTTTCCTTACTCCACATATCACAAACTGAATCTTATAAAGGAAATGTTTTATTTTGTAAAAGTAATTGTTAACTATATACATGCGATATCCATATGCCTACTACAAAGACCAGTTCATACCACTATTATTCACATTTATGCACAAATCACTAAAGTCAGTAGTGATGATATTGAAGAATTCTACCAGCTTCTTCAGACTGAAATTGATCAAACATGTAATCAGGATATATTGATGATTACTGGTGATTGGAATTCAAAGGCTGGAAACAAAGAGGGAAGGATCAGTCATTGGAAAATATGTCCTTGTTGATAGAAATGATGCTGGAGATCACATGATAGAACTTTCAAGATCAATGACTTCTTTATTATAAACACCTTTTTAAACAACATAAAAGATGACCGTACACATGGACCTCACCAGATGGAATACACAGAAATCAAATTGACTAGATATGTGGAAAGGGATGGTGGAAAAGTTCCATATTTTCAGTCAAAATAAGACATGGGCTGACTGTGGAACAGACCATATGTAAATTCAAGCTGAAGCTGAAGAAAACTAAAACAAGTCCATGAGAGCTAAAGTTTAACCTTGAACATATATCTCCTGAATTTAGTGATCATCTGAAGAACAGGTTTGATGCATTAGATGCTAAAGACCAAAGATGAGTTGTGAGATGACATCAAGGACATCATACAGGAAGAAAGTAAGAAAGGACAAGAAAGAAGGTAAAGACCAAAATGGATGTCAGAAGAGACTCTGAAACTTGCTTTCCAGTGTAGAGAAGCTAAAGCAAATGGAAGAAATAAGAAGATAAAAGAGCTGAACAGAAAATTTGAAAGGGCAGCTTGAGAAGACAAAATCAAGAATTGTAATGAAATGTGCAAAGATCTGGAGTTAGAAAACCAGAGGGGAAGAAAATGCATAGCATTTCTCAAGCTGAAAGAACTGAAGAAAAATTTCAAGCTTCAACTTAGAATATTGAAGGATTCTATGGGCAAAATGGAGTCCTGATGTGGCACTGTGGGTTAATGCACCAGACTGCAAAGCCGTTTGAACTGCAAGGTCGGTGGTTCAAGCTCACCAGCTGCTCCTTGGAAACCCTATAAGGGTCGCTATGGGTCAGGATCGACTCGACAGCACTTAACTACAGCAACAACATGGGCAAAATATTGAATGAAGTAGAAAACATCATAAAAGGATAGAAGGGATACACAGTCACTGTACCAAAAAGCAATGGTCAATGTTCAACCATTTCAAGGGCTAGCATATGATCAAGACCCAATGATACTGACATAGGCATGTGAAAATGGACAGTGACTAAGGAAGACCAAAGAAGAATTGATGCATTGAGCTGTAGTGTTGGAGAAGAATATTTAAAGTACTGTGGACTGCTAGAACAAACAGATCTGTGTTGGAAGAAGGACAGCCAGAGTGCTCCTTAGAAGCCAGGATGGTGAGACCTCATCTCATACTTCAGACATATCAGGAGGGACCAGTCCCTAGAGAAGGACATCATCCTAAGTAAACTGGAGGGTCAGCAAAAAAAACCAGAAAGATCCCCCACCCCCCCTCAACCTTATGGGTTGGCACAGTGGCAGCAGCAATGAGCTCAAACAATTATTGTGAGGATGGTGTAGGACAGAGCAATGTTTCATTCTGTTGTGCATAATGTCGGAACCAACTCATAGGCACCTAGCAACAACAACATATACATGAATAATTTCTCTTTAATGCCTGATTACTGTATGACATGGACTCCTGGTGTGGCACTATAGGATCAGCATTGGACTGCAAACCACAAAGTCAGCATTTCAGACTCACCAGCTGCTCCTTGAAAGCCCTATAAAGGGTTGCGATGGGTCAGAATGGACTCGACGGCACTTAACAATAACAACAGCTGTGCAACTAATAATAGGGACTTGTAATACCCTTCCGCCATTGAAACAAGTACTTGGAGGGAGAGAGAACGTAGTGTAAAGATGTTGAGGCGAGGTGGCAAGTCAAAGTCATAGGGTACAAAGACAACAAACACTTTGAATACATTTATGTCATTTTATTCTTAAAGTCAAATAAAAGTAAAAATGGGTATTTTTATTTCAGCATATATTTTTTTTACATAAGTTGGTTGATAATTCTTACTTATGTACTATTATTATCACCACACCTTTCAAAAAGCAAAACTGTGTATATTTCCACACTTAATCTTTATACTGTTTAGGAGATCAATAGATTAAAAGCATTTTAGCAATTCAAAAACATGATAATTCTTTTGTGTTTTGTTTTATTTTTTTATTAGAAGGGGATGAACTGGTAGTTCCTGAAACATCCGATAGCAGTCGGAGACAAATGGTGAGAAACACAAATAATAAGCGGCGTTATTCCTTCAGAGTCCCAGAAGAGGAAAGGATGCAACAAAGGAGGTAAATGTTTCATTTATATTTATTGTCTGTTCATGCTTGTAGCCTCTGAAAGACTATTGTTGTTGTAAAGTGCCATTGAGTCAATTCCTACCCATAGCAACCCTGTAAGGGCTTGCGAGGAGCAGCTGGTGAGCTTGAACTGCCAACCTTGCAATTCAAACGACTTTGCAAGTCTGATGCATTAACCCACAGCGCCACACCAGGACTATGTAATGACACTATGTTTGATTTAGAAGGACAGTTTGATCTCTGAGAAATTTCTTTTATCAACAGCATCATATTGCTTATAACCACAGTGTAATATTAATTTTCTCAATTACGAATATGTCCCATATATATTTTGATTCATTTCTATATGTATACAGATTAGCTATACTTTTTGGAATAGCCTTTATGTGATATAAAATATAATATAAACATAGAACATACGTTTGGCAGAAGTGCAAATGTTTAAGAAGTTCAGATTATTCTCTTCAGAAATAGAAATAGAATAGAACTTCCAGTTGCATATAAAATTATATGTGAAATGTTATCAATTATTTTTAAAGATATATAGTAAAATGGTCAGGATTATCCATAATAGGGAGTAGAGTTTCTTTAATGTCTAAGTATTAAAATAATTCTGTAGTTTCCCATTGAAAATTATAACACCTTTCATTTAAATTCATTTTTAATTGAGTATATATTTGTGGCGGAAACCCTGTACAGGGTTGCTATGGGTCGGACCCGACTCGATGGCACTTAACAACAACAACAACAATATATTTGTTATTTTTAATTATATACTTATTAACATAATTTTACAGTGTTCTTTTTCTAAAAACATTTCTTAATAAAAATTGAAATAATAAAGTATATTTAATTTTTTTCTCTTAAATTTTATGTAGATTGATCATGGAAAAAGTGTGTAAACAGGTGTTTTTATCTTACAGAGAGATGCTACGAGATCCAGAAATGAGAAACAAATTAATTTCTAACCCAACTAATTTTAACCACATAGCACACATGGGTCCAGGAGATGGAATACAGATTCTAAAAGATCTGCCCATGGTAAGAGAATGAAGAGGGAGGGAATGGGAACATAAATGGGACTAGGTGTAAATGGTATTTATATTTGTGTGATAATTTTTAAAGATACTACAAGGAAGAAATGTTTATCTCAGTAGAACACAGCACTCCTCTATAAGCCTCAGCCTGTAGGCACTCGGTTCTAGCTCAGTAGGTCAGCAAACCTAGCTCCCCAACTTAAGTGCTTGGAGGCACCCTACTCTGCAAGCAAGAATCCTGCTCAGAGTCACTCAGATTTACTTGCTCAATCAACTGAGAAAGCCCACTGCTTTGCCTCATGCTCTGGCTCTTTCTTGGTTCTGCTGCTGCTGCTCCTCTGCCATTCATCTAGTGTCATAGCTTTCTGTCCCTGGGTTGAGGAATTTCAATGCACAGGCGTCTCAGGGTCCCAAGGACACACTTCAGTCCTTGTACTTTGTTGATGGTAGTGAGATCCCCCCTACTGCTTCTGAGATGGTTCATTTTATATCCATGCTAGAGTTTCAAGTTTTTACAATTACAATGAACTCTGCTAACATCCACAGCTGAGTCATGTGATTCTACTAGTTAGTATCTTCTCCCCCTTCTCTTATCCAGACCCAGCAGGGCAGAAATGTTGTTTGGTAGGAGTTACAGACTATGGCTAGAAGCGACATTAGATAGTTCACTATACCACAACTATGTCATTTAAACTTTTAAAAGTTAATTAGTAAATATTTTTCAATACTTTATATGAAGTAAACATTATAGGATATCAATTTCAAAGAACCACCTGTTGCAAAACAAAATATCAACAGTATTTAAAATATCTTCAGGGTTTATCAACTGTTCCTTTAGTTGGTGTTCTTCTGCCATCAGGCAAAAATATCAGTTGCTGATGTTCCAGAGTTCATTCAGACATTCATACACAGTAAGACTATGCACCCTAAAACTAAAATGTTTATATCAAACATTGCAAGAACTTTGAATCAAAATGCACTTTTTTTACTTGTTTTGTCCTCAATCTCCCACCACTTAAAACAAATTTTATTTTTTTCAAAATAAGATCTCATCTTAAAAATAAATAAGTAAATAAGATCTAGTCTTTAAGCAAAATAAGTTTAGAACATATTTCTCGAAGATTCATCCCTTGATTGACTCCATGATCCATGATTAGACCTCTGGATTTTTTTTTGTATTTGTTGTCACTTTGTTTTGTTAGCCATGGCCACCTGGTTAGTTCTTTTTGGCATTAACTCAAGTGATTTTTTTTGCCCTAGTCTTGTTCAGTCCAATTTCTAGTGTTCCTTCCAATGCTTGAATGCTATCTTACTATGTAATTACGTACTTTTGTAGAGGAGGCTTCAAAAATTTTGTTAAAAAATTCCATTATCTTTTCATTCCCTTTTTTCCACAAACTTCTTGAAGTCTCTTCATATTTTCACAGATAAAAACTCACTGTCATCAAATCAATTTCCACTCATAGCAACCCTAAGTTGGTATACAGTTTTACATTTTAGTAACCATATTCTTCACCTATACACAAAGGCTTTCGATTGTGTGGATCATGACAAGCTATGGACAACATTGCGAAGCATGAGTATTCCAGAACACTTAATTGTGCTCATGAGAAATCTGTACATGGACCAAGAAGCAGTTGTTCAAACAGAAGAGGGGAGCATTGAATGGTTTAAAATTAAGAAAGGTGTGCGACAGGGTTGTATTCTTTCACTATA